ATTAAGCACTGAGTAGTAGTTTGCACACATAAGCAACCACAATACACGTTAGTTAGCTAAGTTACAGAGAAGGAAACCATGAAGTTGCAGCTTTTTAACAACATGAATGAATACGAGACTCGCCCTGATGATGAATACTGCAAGCAGTTCTGAAAAGTGGTAAACTTTTATCAGACTACACAGTGCAACATCCCAGAAGACATCCATCTTCATAAGACTTGTGGTGAAACTGTGGACTGTAGTCTTCTGGGTTGTGAAGTCACGTAGTCTTATCGACACACATATTTCCTCCAAATTCAAGTACTTTCTCAGAATCACTAGTAACCACCTTTTTTTTTATTTAGTGTTCTGTCTGACGACAGGTCCATATGAACAGGATCCTTCCATCCTTTTCTCGGACTGGGACCTGTTCATATACGTTCTTGGCAGATGATCCAGAAGTGGTTTGCCATTGCCTTCTTCTGTGTGTGAATGGAGTAATTGTTGGGATGCCACGGAGGAAAACTCCGTGTTGCCTAGACCACGGCCTTGCCCAACACAAGTTATAAATTCGGGCACCGCCGGGAATCGAACCCGAGACCCCAGGATTACAAGGCCAGCGTTCTAACCACCTACAAGATTACAAATGGCATCACAACTTAAACGACCATAATCCACATTTTCACTGTCCTGAAAACCACAAGCGTCATATAAGAAAACTACAGGAAGTCCCAAAAAGATGTATACACACAACCCTCATGTCACTATTGTATATACATCCTAAGACATCTGGAGAGGCAGCACTACAGAGTTCAAGAACTAGAATCCCCATACATCAAAAGAACCAAGGTACATAGTTCAAGTAACTTCAGCATTATATCCAATCAGAAGATCACATATACTCTGAAGATGGAGGTAATACATTCCTCTGCAATGCTGGCAATCATTGTTGACTACATGTCACAACCCAGAAGACCAGAATCTACGCTTTTATTGGCATGAAAAACTCATCTCATTTAAAATTTTGAATTCGTTAAGAGTTTTCTCCTGCAGTAAACAACCAAAACGTGGTTTTTGACAAACAAAAAATGTTCAATGTAGAATTATATATATAATTTATGTGAGCATTTCAGTGAAGTTGTAAAAGTCGTTCAAAAGTTATTTTACAACAGTATTACAGTGTCACGTTAAAAATGAATGTTTTACTTATGGGTCAGTGATATTTCAATAAAGGTGGTTCTTTTCACACAGAAACTGAAATGCATGATTTATAAAAGGGGAATTATTAGATCGAGGAAAGGTAAAGATTTTAAAGCACTAGAAAGCATGCATTACAGAATTCAAAAGAAGGCAATGAACACTGAATCAAAAGGAAAGTGTCCAAGAGGAAAACCACGCTCATATCATGCAAAAGGAAGAATATGAGGAGAAGGAAGTGTGGGAAGGCAGATAGATTTGGTTGCCAGATGACTCATAAAGCTGGGAATGTAGCAACGCGTAAAAACTACACTTTGTTACAGAAAGGAGGTTATGAAAAATAAGTGTAATAACTGAAACATATTAAATCCTTTCACTGTAACATTTTTCAGTCTCTTGGGTTTTCTCTCCAACAAATTTTTGGACAAGAAATAGGACAGCAATTTATTGGCTGAATAATTTTTTAGCCTGTGTCCATCTTGTACGTGTGAAACAGTATCAATTTTTAATTTTGTGCTGGTATTACAGAACAAAGAAAATATATTTTCTTTGATGAAACTTTGTACAAAAATGACTAACATAACTGTACTCACCTTATTGTAATAATCGTTGTGAATGATGTTGCCTCTTGTAAAAAAAAATCTCATGACAGATAATATATTTACAAAGTATTTAACTATTAGTCATCTTGAAAACTTAACTCCTAATAAACAATAAAAGTGCAGAATATTCATGTCATCTTGCGTAGGGGAAAAAAAAAGACAAACAAACAAACAATGTTGATATCACTCACTACTACTGTCTTATCACTGTTTAGTCACTCTGGAAGGAAGATAAATTTACAAAGACACAACTCACACATTAATGCCTCCCTTAAAGGCAGTTGTAGAAACAACCATAACACACAGACCAACATCACACTCAAAACACATGTAGTAAAATTATTTTTATATCACAAACTACAGCAGGATGAGGTGAAGCAGTGAATGAGTAGCTATTGTTTCCCTATTGACCTCAGATTTCACTGATATTTATTTTATTTTATTTTTATTTAGTGTTCTGTCTGACGACAGGTCCATATGAACAGGATCCTTCCATCCGTTTCTCGGACTGGGACCTGTTCATATACGTTCTTGGCAGATGATCCAGAAGTGGTTTGCCATTGCCTTCTTCTGTGTGTGAATGGAGTAATTGTTGGGATGCCACAGAGAAACCGGGGAAGCCCCCGGAGGAAAACTCCGTGTTGCCTAGACCACGGCCATGCCCAACACAAGTTATAAATTCGAACCCGAGACCCCAGGATTACAAGGCCAAAAATTAATCAATGTACGCAAATATCAAATTGGGCTTTATATAATACACATTACGTCTCTGCAAACAAGTATCAGCACAGGTGATTCGTAATGGATAAAAATTTAAATTTACTTTATCGTACTGAATGACGTAGTCTTTTGACGGTGGCGGTAGTCACGTGTCTCCAAGTGTATTGAGATGCCTTCAGACCATGCGAGGTTCTGGAAGTTTCTGGTCTTGGGCTTACTTGATCCTTGCTATTATGCAAGAAGTGTTGTTTAGCAGCTTTCTTCTGCTGTTAGACTCTTCCTGCTGCCGCCAACAGCAGAAGCAACATCTCCGTAATATGGACCATTAGGCGCACAAAAACTCACTGTTAATATGAAGATGAGGTTCTCTTGGGGAAAGGGGGGGAAGAGATACCGTTTAAAGAATGTCTTATTCATTCCTGCCAATCTTATTTCATGGTTTTATTATTTTTATTTTTGAGTTTAACTGAATGACATTAAAAAATAAAAAAACATAACCTCAAAGTTATATGTTCTATCTACTGCTTTATTTATGACTGGGTTAGCGGAGCCAACGACAAGCACTACTCGGTGAAACAATGGAAAAACGTCAGAAACTGACCCCAGGTGAAAATTTTTTTTGTTCATGATCCCTTAGTTGACAATGCAAAAGTATTTTTACCAGCAATAAAAAAAAATTGTTGTCAAAGCTATGAAGAAGGATGGTCCTGTTAATTTTATATCTGCAGCATAAATTGAGTGAGGTAAAGATAAAAGAAGGAATTTTTGTTGGCCCACAAATAAGGAAACTTACAACAGATACAATTTTTGATTCTATTTTGAATGAAGTTCAACTAGCAACTTGAACAGCATTCAAAGATGTTTGCAGCAATTTCTTGGGAAACAATAAAGCAGACAATTACCAGGAAATCATCGAAAGATTCCTCCAGTCATATGAAGCAATGGGGTGCAACATGTCACTAAACATTCACTTCTTACACTCACATTTGGATTTCTTCCCACAAAATCTCGAGTTCAGTTAGTGGCGAACATGGAGAGCATTTTCACCAAGATATTGCAGTTATGGAAAACTGGTACCAAGGGAAGTGGAGTGTTAACAAGCAGTCAGATTATTGCTTGAGTATTATAAGGGATGTACCTGGGGCTAATTACAAACAGAAGTCATCGGCTAAATTTTTTTTAAAAATAAGTACATAATTATACAATAGATTCAGATTAATTGGGCCATCGGTTAATGGGGGCAGCTGTTTATTTGGGACAAATCTTAAAGAACAAACACCGTTTTAACTATTTACGTGGAACTTCGCATAATTGGGCCAAAGTGTTCTAGTCCTGATGTGTCCCAATTAACCGGAATCCACTATATTATAATGTAATATTGGATTCATTTATGAATAAAAATTATGTTTTTGAATTACGTATTTCTTTTTAACTGAGGGTGATAGAAATATTCTGTACAGCATAAAAAACAGTACAGGAAGACATGTCATACCTAAGGAAACAGTTTTTAAAAAAATGTATATCAGTGTTTTTGTACATGGAATTTCTCTAGCAATTGCTCATTTATTTTCAGGTGTAACTGTGCTCGTGGTACATGTTTTCCCACCACGACCAAGTGTACTGAATGGTCATTTAGTAGAATGAAACTTGTTTGTTAAAATGATGCAAGACTCTGAATGACAATAAAATAAACAAGACTTGGTATGATCACTAAAACCTGAATATTCAAAGTGCTAATTAAATCACAGCATCTCAAGTGAATAATTTCCAACTGATGGCGAATGATTACGGAATAACACATTCTTGACCTACCACAAAACGACGTGGTCCAGCTGATCTTCATGTGAACCAAAATGTATTTGAACATAAATAATACAATGCTAGATGTAAAGAAAAAAAGCAACCCTGCGTCCGCCACCACTCAATGTTAATTGTAACTAACACTTTATTTTGTAACTCACCCCTATCAACGCTTGAAACATCCTGACTATCCATCACCGTATCCTCTTCATCTGTCATACGCCTGCGTTCATCTCGGCGGTGGTCACGACGCAACGGCTGACGTGAGGGATGTGTGTTTGGCCTTGGCCCTGCTTGGTACTGGTGTTGCCTTGGTGGCAAATCTCTCACACGTTCATCTGCAGTGTCTGGTGTCTGATGGCGTGAACCTGCAATGTAAAAGATACTGAATGGGTGCAAGCTAAGTATTATGACTTAAATATGAAACTCAACATATGAAACACATTCAGCATATTCTGTACTTTATGGATAATAATAATAATAAAACAACAAACACACACACACACAGTTAATATCAGCTTTCTACTAAAAACATCCTTCTGGCTCTACTCATCAGAACAATAAAAAAATAAACATGTTACTGTTCTCTTCCAGCTGCTCCAATTTCTTTTGTACCCAAGACAAAGATAATTTGTATTGAGTCCCCTACCACTGACATTTTTAAAGACACTGCAACAAACACAGTAAATTCATAAGAATGCCAGAAGCATGGTATTATAATACTAATACATAAGAAATCTGAATATATTAAGTGGTACCTACAGTTGCAAAGACACTTAAAATGGTTACCAATAGGCAATGGTTTGTAAGAAGTCTTCTACAGCCTTAACAAGGAATGGAAGGGATGCATCTAGAAGGTGTTGTCCAAGAACACAGCTTGGCCTGTGAAGAATCTAAAACATTACTGGAGTGTTATACCGAAGTTTGTAAAATTGCCTTCACCAAGTACTGCAGAGAAATTAAAATTATCTCTACAAACACCCAAAATAACACAAAGCAGTTTGGATTACTTTATTAAACAGGATGTCTAAGAAATCTCCACATCAAGAGTAGAAAATTCTCTTGCTTGTGCACAGTTCAATTTGTCACACTCCACGTGTATTATGTAGCATTTTATAAGTTACTGACACTGTCCATAAGCATCAGAAGATTTCAGTTCTTTATAGCCAAAAATCAAACTGGTGAAGTGGTTAATCAAAGACGTGCATTTATTATAACTACGTGAAGACAATTTATGTTCTTTCAAAGGTTAGGAACAAGGATTCTAGGAAGTTGCAACATGTTAGTTGACAGTTGGACTCGAAGATACTTTTGGCATACCCTTTCAGGCTTCAAGTTTGCAAACTTTTCATGGCTTATTCGTACCACACCATGCAGAGAAAGATGTAGTTAAACCATGCAGGAAATCAAGGTTAGTAACATAAGACATTTGTTCCTTCTTTCTGAAGCTGTATATGTGAATTTGGATACAAATCTTCCCACATATATGCTACTGGCTTTTGTGAACTTGTTAACTTGTTGAAAGAACTAAGTCCCCAGCTGAAAGGGTAGCAAAAGTTTCGAGTCTGAATTCTGCAACTCTGCAACAGAGGCTCACATTTAAATTAATAAGACACTCTGTAGTTTTTTAATCACTGTACAGCAGCTTTTTATTTTCATTTCTTAGAAAATTTCTGTAAATAATAAAGAGGTATGATAATACGAAAAAATGCCCTCAAGTCCGTAAACTGGCAACATTTTTGTCACTTTTTTTGTTTCCTCTTTTTTCTTCTCAAGCTGTCCTGACCAATTACAATTATAACCATAATGAACTGGTTTTAGTACACATTCCTAGAATGGACCAAACCAATCAATCACCCTTTTGTCGTATTCACGAAACAAAAGCCATCTATAATTTAAATCCTTCCAGCTTGGTCTCAGTTTCTTTCAACTTTAGGGAGCATAGAGTTTAGCCAGTGCAAAAATTATGTAGCAGGGGTCGGAAAAAAATCTTCACCAACATGCTTTCACAAACCACCACACAGTTCCAGTTCTACTGATGGTGACGAGACCTCACTGATTGTTCATCCCTTAGCCGTACTCTGGTATTAATATATACAACAAGTTAATTCCCTGAGAGTAAAAAGCACTAAGGTATAAATCTTCACATCTGTAAGCAATAATAACTTCTAACCTGTCTCTCTATTATACTTGTTTCCAAAGAAATGTGAAGTTTAATCTCCGACCTCTTGCTAAATGCAGTGTATTCATAAACTACCACACAAATTCCAACTCTGTCGTACAATAAAACCAGAATAATAATTTGCCATTGTTTGTATTAGATGGACAAGTTGCATATAAATTATAAAATTTCTGAACATTAACAAAAGCAAACCATAACACTAAGGAGAGGTTTGTCAGACTTGGGTACGAGTTTTCAACAAAAATAGGATCAGCGGAAAATACACGAAAAATAAAGACAGACCTGACTTTCCCTTTTATTCAATGTAACTTAGTTTCTAAAATATATGCTTTATAAAGGTTTTCCCATTGGTATAAGTTAGCTATACCAAAGGAAAAACTTTTAAACCACATACTTCAGAAACTAGGGCCCACCACCGGATGAAAGACGAGCCAGGCGTCTCTTTACTTTCCATCTGCTTACCACTGATGCTGTTTCTAAATCCTGGACTTAAGTCTGATAATCTTTCTTACCTTTGAGTTTAGCTTTAAATAATGCAATGACATTCAACTAACAATGTATACATGACATAGAAATTTAACAGCATCCATCCAAACATCACAAAGAAAGACAGTTTAGTTTAAAATAAATATACAATGTCCTTCTTTAATGTCACTGCTTATTTTAAATATTATGTGACAGATGAAAAGTCACCCACTACCTTCACCACACATGTATACAAACAATGTTTACAAATTCATTACACTCTCAGAGGAATTACACTGCATTTGTTTTTTTACCCCTTATGTCAACATTACAAACATGATTATTAATATTATAAAGCCTACAATCGAGAATGAGGTGTTACAAGTCTGTATTTGGAACTGTGCAGCACATTTTTTTAAAAGTCGAAAAACTAACGAAGCAGATGCAGGCAGTTAAGTAAGGGCAATTTTCAACAACTTACCAATTTCCGTATCATGCGCCATGAAAATATAATTTACAGAAAGTAATACAAGTACACAACACTACTTGCAATGTCCTGACATGGAAAAAACAAGCTAGGAAAACGTATTCCACACTGGAATACACGTAATATTCTCACGCGTTCTTTGCAACATGCACGTGGAGGTATTAAATCCACTTTGTTTTACAGAAATCACTTTGGCCGCCAGATCGGAGCATTTCAATATCTACCTTATAACTTTCCTTATCCAGCCTTTTTTTTATCACCGCTCCTAGGATACTCAAAAGTATGATTTTGAGGTCATGCAGAAAAGCATGACCTCCACATCAAATTTCATCCAAATACGTCCAGCGGTTCTCCAGCTGAATCGACATACTGACAACCAGCCCACAACGCACTTCATGCAAAGAACGCATAATAAAAGCAACAATCACCATACAATCATGCTGTTAAATTTATTTTCAAGTCAGCTTGGGTTGGCAATGAAGACACCACATCCCAACACATTCACGTTGCTAACTCTACATGGTTTCCTTATTAAAATGCAATCCCACATAAAATATGCTACACATTTCCTGATGTCATATTTCATCTAATATTATAGGCCAATATGTTTTCATACTGATAACATAATACCTTTCAACAAAAAAACTGGAACACATATACAGACAGAAGTAAGAGTAATTTCTAACAAGTAAATTTCTGACTTCAAAAATTTATCTAACTTATGTTTCTTTAAAGTACATCTCATGTTTTAATATGGGAGTTGCAATATGAAGCACTGTTAAAATTTTAGCGATGATGTTTGGTGCTACCACGCACCGACTGTGAATACCGCGATCTCTGTTACTTGATGACGGAAAGAAATAGCAAATTGTTCCAACAAAAAAATTTAATTATTAGCGTCTACATCCATTTCGCTTATGGATGATATGGAGACTGGACTAATTTATTATAAAAGAAGGGAGCATACTACATTTTACAGGTGAGACTGATGTATCTAAAACCTCATTTCCAAGAAATTATATTTAAGATAAGTTAAACTAACATTCCAATCGTCAATGGAAAAAAAAAAGTCACAGAACCTCAGTCCGCTATTAACTTACACAGCAAATCCCACAGTCATTTCTTAACACAATCTGTATGTTAAACCAAAACGCGAAAGAAATAATAACAAGAATACAGTTGTGCTGCAAGTAAAATGCAATACTGCATTAAAACATATTAACATAACACAGTCAAATCACAATCTACAGAAGTCATGTCAGAAGTTTTTTTTTTTGTAACGAAGCAGTAACATTTGATAGATTTTTCAGCACGATGTGCATCAGCAATAATTACAATTCAAATATACAAATGCTACATATGCCCATTAACTTCATAAACAAAATGGATAATTAAGGACAAAATGGACAGCTGTCAACTATTAATTTCTTTTAATGTATCTGTTACACATTAATTTCTGATACATTAACGTAATTTTAGTAAAAACCAGTCTTCTACACAAGAAAAATTTTTCAATTGTGTGATCACCATAACTAAATCACAGCACCCAATAAAAATTGTTTCCAATGTACTTGGCACCCAGTTCCAGCATCAAATGTTGTATGCTGCGAAATCTACAAAACAATGACGAGACAGCATAAGGTTGCCAACATGAACTAATGGACTTGGAATAAATTGTAAGAGAAAGCTGCACAAAATAAAAAAAAAATTACCCCCATGGATTTTTAAATAAATTTTTAATACATACATAATTAAATCACTGCATGTTTCACTTTTAAGAATGGAGAAATATGCCTTCATTACATATATATATGTGTGTGTATACATATATAAATGGTGGGGGGGAAGATTTATAGTCAAAAGTATCCTCTCCACATTAATTTTCCAACATTACTTCAACTCTGGGAAAAATTAAAACTGAACAGAGCAGTTTTTTTTTGTCTTTAAATACACTGGGAGTCTGGAATATGCAAGGGTATCATAGTGAATGTTGCAAGCAACATTATAACGTAAGGAAGATTTTTGCCACCTAATCTGTGTCACATCCTAATACTGAATTTATAACAATGACAAGAATTATTTGACAAGAATTTTAATAGGCAGGAGTCAATTAAGTCTTCTCCCGTAAGTTTTACTATAGCTGATAATTCCATGTCACTCATGGGTGATTAAAAAATGGCAACTTGGCAACTAAAACTCATTGCATCCTGCCTATAAATAGTGCCATTAGTTCAAGAACCGTAAGTCAAAAGCCAGGGGAAGTCAATATTACCCACAAGGTATACTGATCAACGTTTGAAAATATTTTCCACTTTTAAAAAGACAACTTCCTTGCTAGTATATCACATCGTTCATGATGTGAAACTTATCTTAGCTAAATTTCTCCTGTCATTAGTGTTAAATATACAATACCATGTAATTTTACACTTTCTTGGATATTCATTACATTTAATTGACACAAGTCTTCTTCTGTGATGGTATGAGAGTGGTTACATCATCTCAACATCTTCAATTAGAGTTTCAAGCAAAGATCAGTGGCTACCTTGTGACCAGGTGGATCAGTCCGGTACTGGTAGTGGTTCACGAGCCATCACTTACGATCCTTATCCATTCCTCCTCCACCTCCTCCCCCCTTACTCCCTCTCCCTCTATCCCCACTACTTCTTCCCATACGCACATTACCCCCTCGTCCACGGCTTGTTGATGGGACTTGCCCCTTCTTACCCTCAACGCTGTTAATATAGTCTGTGATGGTATTACCGGCATTGAATCTGGCATCACCATGACGCCCAGGGCCCCCACGGCCCCGTCCACGCCCTCTCATTGGCCCACCTCGGCCTCGGCTGCTGCCTCCATCCATGTCTGAATTATAACCCCTGAAATGGAAACAAAATTTCTATCAGTACAAACCACTTAACTTAAATAAATCAAACGAAGAACATTCTGCAAATTAATAAGACTTATCGCCCTGATGATGGAGGCAGCAAGGACCTCTGAAACGTCGGTAAACTTCTACAAGACTACATGGGGGCAACAGCCAAAAAGACAGCCATCTTCAGACTCACCACCATGGACACCTCAAATCTTACAAATTAATAAGAATTAAATTAACATTCTCAACCCTTCGTCTGAACATGAAATTTGGTGTTGATGTCATCACATTTTTTGTACAATTCACATGAATTTTGATGAAAGGTAAAATACAATCAAATTTACTGATTTCTATGACCTCTAGTTCTTGATACACGTACAATGAAGAAAGAAAGAGAGAAATGTAAACACTTATACTGCATTTTAATACATAAAATGTTTCACAAAAGAACTGACTCACCTGTCATTGCGCCTTTGAATCGGAAAATTCTGCATTGAGCCCATTGTGGAACCGTGTATACTGCGTAGCTGCTGATCAATTTCTAATTTTTCTTGTCTTAATGCTTCTACCTCCTGAAAGGAGCAAAAATATAAGACTGTTTCCTGGTCATTAATGTTACAATTTTAAGCTGTTACATGCATAAAGAAACATACAACGCATTTTAAAACAATGAAACAGCCAAATTCATTATCACCATAACTGATGCATTTGAAGTTTTCTAGTGTCTAAGTAAGTAAAATTAGAAAAAAATAAATCTACATTTTAACCTAAAATAATCATAAAAAAGGAACTACAAAAATAAAAGTTACTGGAATTTAAAATCTTCTGGGGGAGGGGGACAAAACAATTTATTGCAGCAGATTTAATGCATCTAGTATGAAAATTAAATATGTATAAAATTATAAGTGACTTACCTTTAAATGTGCTAGATGATATTCCAAAAGAACTTTTGCATTCGCTATGCTTTCTACGGTACCTACAAACACAAAAGGAACTTGACCTTCTTCGCGAGGGATCGTTGGCTGTGGCTCATTATCTCCTTCAATTTTGACCCGCACCTGTAACAAACATGGGTGAAAAATTAAAGTTCCAATTCACAAAGGACTGACATACAAATTATAAGTCATTAATAATATGTCAAAGTGAAGGCGGCAGTACTCTCATAACATGTGCTACACACTTCACTGGACATGACCAGCAAATATACAGTATTAACCATTTAAAGCTCCGTGGTAACTAAATATACCACCTGCTTTAACAATCAGTAAATCTGCATTCAGTTTTTATGGCTTTCGTATAATTCTAAACAGACTGTTTACAGCTTTCTAAAAAATCTCTTTGCTAAATCCCAGCCACTCGAGCACAAGCGGCGGAAAGTATTTAAAAAACGTAAAAACAATTTCAAAAGTGAAATATTAATATAAAATATATACGTTTTCAATAATCTGGCTTATAAGTGACGGTCATGTATAATATTTTCTTTTTTTTTTTGACTTTTTACAGCAAGCTATTCAACATAGCCTCACTTTAACATTTTGAACCCTCATAATGTAAGGAAGTAAAAAATGGAACATGCAGGGTAATCGAAAAATCATGCAACCCACATCAAAATATTTATAGATAATCGCAATTCAAAATAATTTGATCGTCGTCACTGTGACTATACAAGAGCCCATGCAGGTAACATCAAGTTGTAACTTTCTCGCACCAGTCTGTCAGTTCTTTCAACAGTCGAAGCGCAAGAAAGGAATGAGTGTTCGAACAACACCTGGTATCTTGTTCTTACTGAACTTGCTAGAATACATTTCCCCGATTCTCTTGTGCAAAACAAATCTCATCTGGTGAAACGTTTCAATCACTGCAGAAATTCTTCACCAGGCTGCATCAAACATAAAAGAGTAATTGCTGAATGCAAGATATTTCCAACACTTAATATAACATCGTTTTTTGTTTTATAATTTCAGCGTAATTTACTTTTCGATTAATGGAACATATAAAGGAATGGGTTATGTGATTTTTCGATCACTACGTATAAAGAATGTAAACCTTCGCTTTACCCACATTTCTGTTTCAAAACAAATGCTTTCTACTATGCACTTTATTTATTCTAACTCGAAAAAGATTTCTAATTCCAGTTCTGATTTACACATGGGCTTACTGTATTTTCACATGCAAATAAATTATGTTGAGTTTTTAATATGAACCACAAGTTCATAGACATGTTAACAAGAGACGTCCTCTGAACTATACAAGACAAAAAAAATCCATTTCGCTGGACACTTTGTCAGTATAATAATGATGACAGACAGTACTGCACACAAACAAATGGTTCTGGGTTGAAATTCATTCAATAAAATAAAAAAGTCAAGTTGTCTGATTTTCAGAAATATTATTACTGACTGTTACTAATTTAAAGAAATCTGTATGAAACACAAAGAGGCAGACTATTAAACCATGTGTTTTCTTGCTTGTAGTACTTAGATATTATAAAGTTATATGAGGGTCAAGCTGGATTTCCCACAAACAGAACAAGCATAATAAAATCTGAAGAGCTTTAATGGGAATGGGATGGGAAATTGTTCCTTATGTAAACTAACTCCATGGGGCAGAGTCTTTATTGAGAACCTACTAGAATGCTCAACTAGCCCAGAAGTTCTTTAACGTTTAAAGAAACCAAAGATTCATGACCATGTTTAGAACAGCCCACCACCAGTCCCCATTTTGTCCTCATCTTCAACCAGACATATTCAATCCACACCCTCAACCATATTTTGTTTCATTCTAAAATAATACTTCCCTTCTAACTGATTCATAGGCTTTCTTGCAGTATATAAATAGCTGATGCAATTGCATTTATTTTACTAATTTTCTTTCCAGTATCTGACAAACATAAAATATCTGATCAACAGGTAATCAATTACGTCAAAATCCCACACTGATGACTCCCAATAATTTTGTCCATGTATAGAGTTAACTTTGACAGAAGAATGTCAGAAAAATTGTATATATATTTAAGTAGAGAGATTTCTCAATAACAACTACTGCCAGATTCTTCACCCTTTTTATTAATAGGTATACATTCCTTCCACTGCTGTGTCAATTCTTTGTTATTCCACACAAAATTTGCTGGTTCCAGGGTAAAAAAGATGTGCAAGTCCTACAGAAACAATTTTTGGAAAGTTTTCACAAACATATTTATTGGGTTTTTTTAAAAAAAATATGTAAAATGATTATATAATTTACAATTTAAGGCTGGTATATTGAAATATAGATTGTAAAGTAAGAAGCACACTTCTATTGTAATTTTTTCATTTACCTTGGTACCAATGAATTTAAATATCTGTGGATCTCAGGATGCTTGCAGGCAGAATGTCTGATTTTAAATACCGATATGATAATAGTGAAAAAACAAGAGTTTGGAATTTCTCATATGATATGAGAAACAACCATTGTATATCTTATTATAACTACACAGTAAATTAAACTCTGTGACAAATATTCGGAAACAAAGTCATCCATCTCCGCACGTAATCTGGCTAACTTCACTCGATCTCTTTGAAAGTCAAACATAGATGGATATATTTGCTGTTAAACATTATGGACATACTGTAGCTTCAATTTATGTGTTTAGCAGGATGCAACTCTTTGCCGCAAAACACCTCCACACTCAGAGTTGCAAGGTAAATAACTGCAAAGGGTTCTCTGAAGGATACCAAAATTAATGACATACTAAGACTTATCAAGAAGACTGAATGAATATTCTGACAACATTCTAAAATAATACGAAAAATAAAGAGCTTCTCATTTTGACTGAAGAAGCAACAGCAGTCTATAGTTATATTGAGAAAATTGTGGGAGTCACTGATAAATCACAAATATGTAATATTTCTTTTAACAGACTTTACACAATATACATGTAAGCTAAGTTTAAAGAAAGCCAAGGGAAGGTTTGCCACATATATAGAATGTAATTGCTGCTACATTTCAGTTCAAATTAAAACAGAATCAGTGGGTGAAATTATAATTCCCATATTTTAATATTAATAATTTAAGTACCAACCTACAACCTATTAGAATTTGAGGTTTTCACGGTGGTGAGTATGAAGATGGCTGGCTGTTTTCTGGGTTGTAGTGTTGTGTAATCTGGTTATACCAGACTAAATGGTTATAAAACCCAGAAGACAGCCATCTTCTACTTATATATACTTCTTTCATAAACAGACAATACAGGAGGAGCTACCACATTCTCTTTGAAACAGTTCAGTAAACTTCCAAGTCTTCTTGAACGCAAAAGGTTACCAAATCCCATAAAACCTACAGGAAGTGAGCCAAATCACAGATCACATCTGTATGGAGAAAACGCTGCTAGAAATTAAGATATTAAAAAGTGCTATCGTAACATGAAAGTTTATGATAAGAAACATTTTTCATCATTTATTATTTATACTGAAGAAAGATATTCTTAACGAATTAGCTCAGCTTACATGCTGTATGCATGCATTTCAAGTACGTACAGCTGTAATTTTCTAAAGGTATTTTAGACAAAATTCTGCCAAAGCGCCTTAAATGGGTCTCTGACTGCTTAACATTTCATTACTTCCGTATCATCCTACTACTACTCAGTCAATAATATATATATGATTCCAACAGTTGAAAAAGAATTGCTAAATAACTTAAAAACATACTGAAACTATTTTGTTGTAATCATGAAAGGAATTATGGACTAGTGTTCCTTGGAAACACCTACAGATAAAGCAGAGTATATGAATGATAGTGGGGGAGGGTATGCAATATAAATACAAAGTAACAGAAAATTAATACCCATATAATTAATCACTGGATCGGTGATTCTCAACAGGTGTGCCGCAAGCTTTTGCCAAGTTTGCCACTGGGATTTAAACTGAATAATTATTATATATAAAAATTAAAGAATCAATTAATATCATAATTAAATATAAATTAGTTCAAGCGTAACAGTAATCTTATATGTGAAACTTGGAAGCAGAAATTAGTGGTAATGGTATCTGTTGTTGCTTGTATAAAGGTACCTCACTCCACTCCTTGTTCAAATAAATTTGTATGGCCCCCATTTGTCAACAGTCCGCATAAACAGTAAATATCTACGTTTGTGTACACGAGGTTCTGTCACTCACGTTTCACACAAACCGTGTTGAGTGCGAGAGTGCCATTTTAAAAAATTTCCGTCGACAAAAAGAATTATTACAAGTAGTGCACCTAAAAACTGACAATCTGTCACATGAAAATGTGATGGCTAAAAACTATTTAAAAATAGGTGTGCTCTTATTACACGTTTTAATTTTTTATTCTAATTGTAGTGTACCACAAAATTAATCGTCTAATATGGTCAGGAAAGGACTCTACGACACACACAATCTGACAATCTCTTCTGATACAATGACCTAAAAATTTGTCATGTCGAGTTTCTTTGTCTAATATGGTCATGAAAGGACTCTACGACACACATAATCTGACAATCTCTTCTGATACAATGGCCTAAAAATTTGTCATGTCGAGTTTCTTGAACATTTATGTTCAACATGGTACACAGCCATCTCAATTAAAATAAATGGCAATTATTTTTAATTTGAAAAAGACAAAGTACCCCAATTCATCCTGACAAATCTGTTTTTCCAATGAAAAAGAATGGTTGGCCCAGTATCTGTTCTAGCCCACACCAACCACACACACATATATTTCTGCTTTAATATGAGAACTTTCAAAGCTCCATTTATGACAATTTCCTGTACCATTCATATAGAATGTGACTTCACTGATAGAAAGGATCTGATTCAATACCCCCTTCTCCACCAAAAGTACCCTACTTTTACTTAGGGCAATTAATTTAACATTTTAGTTGTATTTTATAAACAAAATATTCTGATCATAGTTATTGGTCACATGAGCTCAAACCTACGGCACGACACTGATTTCCTACTATCACTCAATAATATACAAATCAAAATATATAACTACAAATTTCTTCTAAGACAATAACTAACAGCCTTTCCAGACACCGACGAGCAAAAGTGTTACTAACTTGACATAAAGATAATTTTGTGTTCCACTTCTAAATGGCAATTATGACCTAAATTCATATTAATGTCTATATGTTCATGTATATATTCTTTAAAATGTAAATTACAACAAAATAGACACGGGAGTTGAAAGGTATGATTTTGATAACCTCTAGAATCCGAAGTTCGTCTAAATAATGCTCAAAAATTCAGTTCCTAACAAATATACATACACACTTCTCCATTACAAAGAACAGTTAGTTGGTAAATACTGATTAAGGAAACGATAGCTATTTACCCCAAGAACCACATCAAACCCATAAATACATTCTGCGGGCAAAATACAGGGGGCACACATTATCACCAGGGCTCAAATGAATAAGATATCCTACTTATATATCCTAACACACAGTTATGATAAATAAAATTAAAAAGGAGCTGAATAAGAGCACTTCTGTTACTGCACTCTTAGAATAGTAGCCTTTTATTCAAATTAGAACCTGCCTAATAATACCCAGCACCCGAGATTTGTTTCCGAAATAAGTGTAAAAGAAAAGGTGACTGCAAAATTGCTATAAAATCATTTTTAAACACACACTACCATTGTATTTCAATACTTTAGGGCTGTATCCAAATCTTCTAAAACATACTTTAAAGTATTATTATTTAATATGAATGAGTTATATAAAGTGTACAGTATCCAGAAATGTGGCCATTTAACTGCACATAAATATATTTTTTAACTCATGGATGTGTCTGCTTATTGACATTATTTTAGAAATCTTTTTCATCAACTTAATACTTTTATTTCAAGTAGAGAGTTCATGTTTTCTCCTTTCTTTTAGATCTATGTGGTTTTATGTCTGACTGAAACGTATTAGATCAATCTGATCCAATAAGAGAAAAGATTAATCAATTACAAAGCAACCCTGAGCTGACAATGATAATGGCTGTTTAAACGAGATACTTACTTTAATAGTATGTACATTCCCACTCGAGCCTGTTGTTATCTATTTAGAGAACAATCAACAATTATTTCAACTCATTCCATGAAAAGAGCATTTACTCACTCTCTAGCCAGAGCAGAGATGGCCGTCAGCTACGACAATATCCAGAAGGTCACAAGTAATTTCAGTGCCTCTGACCTCGGTTTATTAAAGAATGGAAAATATACAAGCAGCTACTTAAAACCTGCACTTACGAACTCTGAATACAAAATACTGACATCTACAAAACTTATTTTATTCTAATATGCATATCAGCTCAGTACTCTGGCGAGAGATTCAGTGAATGCAGAATACAACCATTATCTAGTCTAACATCAAGGGTTGCAAATCATTTTTATTGCTTAGACCTTGTAGTAATGGGGATATTAATTCTTACTGAACCTGTCTAAAGTGGAACTAAGAAATATGTTTATCCAGTTTAAACAGGTTTCAATTTAATAACAATCAAAACAAAAGACAGAAACCTAACCCAAAAAATCTCCATTTCAATATCTTTTGAACTTGCAGTTAATTTAGGCCTAAAGGTTCTGAAATAAAATAAGATAAATAAACCTTAGAAGTACCACCATCTGCTTGATTCAATGCAAATTACTAACACATCACACTCTAAGAATTACATGTTACTGTTGCCGAGAAAAATTATACAGCAGAATGCCGATTATCCTGGGCCTAATCATCTGCGGAGTGGATTATCCCTGCTCTCAGATTTTGAATACATATGTTTCTATCCACAAATATCTGCACTATCCTATTTTACTTATACAGATAACAATTCTAATAAAATATAATTTGTATTAACTGTGTTTTTAATTAACTGCCCGCCCCCCCCCTGCTTCCCCCAGTTACCACGGACAATCGGCACTCTATTGTATTTGCTTGTACATGAACAGACAAAGCAGCAAAACAGTAATTCAAAAAGCTGTTTTCAAGCCATTCAAAGTATGGTATTTATAAATTTAAGATTTAAATTCTGGAAGCAGAGGGTGAAAAAATGTATGCTTAAGGCATGCAATAGTTGTTACATTTCTCAAAATTGTGTTCATATTAAAACAGCATACTTTTCTCAGTATGATCTACAGAGTATGCCTGGAACATATGATTTAACATGGGTCTGTTTGTAAGTTCATTTAAGCTTGGAATCATAGAAACAGTACTGTTTGTCCACATCAGTACAAAGACTGAAAATAGAAGCAAATTGGTAAATTAAACTACAAGCACAAAAATGGGTAATGTGATACTTGTTTTGTGGATTCAAAGACTGAATGAAATCTGCCCAGATGTGAAAGAGAGGACTGATCTTCAGTAAAAGTAAAGTAAAGTAAAGTTTGTCCCACTATACGCCATGTAGGCGTTTGGGGTGAGTGGAGGTATAGCTCCTCTCTTCCTTGACCTCGGCACTAGATGGGGGTGAGTGGTCAGCATCACGCCCCGGCCGGCTTTACCCCCGGGAAAGGACCCCGGTACCCATTGTAGAGGAGGCTGGGTGGGCCCCAGAGCCGGTCTGGACGCAGAGGCTAGAGGAAAAATCCTCTGCCCCCGTCGGGGATCGAACCCCGGTCGTCCAGCCCGTAGCTAGTCACTATACTGACTGAGCTATCCCGGCTCATACTGATCTTCAGTAAAATTTAAAATTCATTAACCCCGTGTACAAGCGAGCGAGATCTTTGGTTCTCACAACAATAAAGACAATGATGATGGTCTCCTTGGCTATAACTATAGATGGAGACAGCACGTTTCTTTAAAATGCTGGTATATAGAGGCCGGGCGAGAAGTGGTGGCACTTGAGCAAAGAATTTACTTTGGTCATATGAGATGGACCTGTCTGAAAAATGCGCTAGAGGGGTGTCAGTTTCAGTTGGTTTGTAGCTCTAGCCGTGTTTAGATCGGTGCGTCGACTGCTATAAGCAAACTAAAAACATTACCCTACTCGGTGTTTTGCTGTTCATTGTCGGTATAATTAAAAGTTTCAACATTGTTAAACACATATATTTTATTCATTTATTTGTATTGCAACCTCAAATTGAATAACATGGCAACGTCTCAGATAGGCGATAACAAAGTTATTCATAGCCTAAATTTTAAAACCAGAAATGAAAACTGGAGACTATCATGATGAAATGAACGCAGGAAATTTTGCAAGGTATACATACGTTTTGTCACAGATAATTTATTTTCATAACAGCATAGGCTTACATCGGTTTGTGATCATTTAAGTTATTATTAAGATGCTGGTATTTTATTACCATCTCATTTTTTAATGTTTTATTTTCTTTACATCAGATGGCTTGAGTAGAAGCTTATACCCAATCTCCCACCTAGCTCAGTTATTGAGCTAGACGTGTCCTATCACAACGATCAGAATGACAAACCACCATCATTTAGCAGTAAGAGGGACGTAATGAAGATTTGGTTGGATACCCGTGGGATACACTATCCGGAATATTCAATGAAAGTAGAGGTGTTACAGTTGATAAAAATAAAAGAACCCAGATTTCAGAAGTTCTCAACTGACAACCTTTTGGCAAGCACTTTGCTTGCGACCCTAACACCCAGAACTAAATCCCATCGAAAAATATGTGGAAATGGTTAAAAACTGGGTGGCGATGAAGAACGTCACATTCCAATTGCAAGACGTTTGAAAACTGGTGGATGAAAAATTCTTCTCCATCACTACAGAAGAGTGGTTGCTTGTACGTAAACACGTACAAGGAGTGGAGGAGAAATACACAGAAAATGAACAATTGCGTTGATAACATAGTTGCGGAATTGGTTATCAACCTTGAGTTATCAGATTCAGACATGAGCAAGGAGGATGAAGACAACAATTTGGAGGGAATACTGACTCTTTTGTCAGATTCAGAGTGAAGCAGTGATGTGAACCACAGGCAGGAAAAACCAAACTCAATATTTTTAGAAAAATGAATAGTAAGTGGTCACACTGGTTCCCCTCCACTCAGGCGACCACAGCTGAGGCTATATGACCCCCACTATTACTGAACTCCCTCTCATGGATTACACATCGCCCATTTAGGTGCCACCACTATTCGCGTGACCTCTACCCAGAAGCCCACCTACTACCCAGAAGACCAATATCAACACCCATATAACCATATTTCTTATAACAGGAAGAACAGTTTTTAGAGATATTTAACAATTAGAAGTTTCGAGTTGAATGTGTAATTTGTTTTTGTTGTCCCTATTTTCATACAAATTAATCTGTAAAAAAATACTGTTTTATTTCTCAAAGTAATAAAAACATTTATGCAGCATTAAAATGTCAGACTTTCAATATCATATTTAGTACCAGAGTTCCATTAATAATGTTTTACACTGGTAAGTGTTGATCTCAAGAGTCCAAGTGGTGTACTGATACTTTAAAAAATTTCATGCAAAAATTACTACTGATCTGTCAGTTTTGAACTTCAACTTCATTCAGATAGTTGTCTTCTGGGTTGGGGGGACAATGCGTTTTGGCTGTATGCCAACGTTGCGGAGAACATATTGTCTCCACTGTCAGCCCTGAAGACAGAGACAGTATGCTCCTCTAAAATTCTTACAAATGACCCTGCTGACCTAATCCTCCATCTAACTCTTTATACCCATCAACATCCAAACAATTCTAACTTCAACTATGAAGATGAAGGCAGTATGTTACTCCAAAACATTGGTATGCAACCAGAAAACTATATGGTACAAGGACTGAGAAGACCACATCTCAGAGTAGTTGTTTTGGCTTCAGCAAGTGAAATCAGGTTTAAATTACTGATTCACCCACTGAGGAAAGTATTACTTTTCAAGTAGAAATTTGTTCGATTTTGACAATATTTTTGGCACCCCTAAACTTGTGTAGTGACATTGCACTGAAGTTTTGTAAATAAAATATATGTTGTAACAAGTACGAGTGTGTTAAAGTGCAAGGAAGCAAATTCATTTATTTATTTCAGATTTTCTAGATTATAATTTTGTTTAGTTTTTGATATAATATTTTGGGCCTTACTGATCTCGGGTAGAGAGGATACTCTGACGATTTCTACACAAAATTGCTTGATTTAAAATACAATTCATCTTGTGACCCTGCAAGGGAACATTTATACATTTTTCAAACTTTCTACATTTTCAACACCTGGTTTATGCATAACATTTTTATAACATTAGTTTGGTCACTCCTTGGCATGTAAATTTACATAAATTTTGAAACAGTGTCTACATAATTATGCAGCTCAAAAATTAAAATAAATATTTTCAAATAACACAACACCAAGTGAAGAAAATGGGCAATTCTAAACAAAGTATTATGTGCAGTCAGACCTTATAATCTTAAATATTCTGCTTCAAAACATCTTTGTTTTTTGTTACACCGTGTAGTTTCAAATAAAAATAAAACACACAAAACTTCAATCACTGCACTGAAAAGTCCCAAAATTTCATACAAAAGTATGTATTTATGACAGTAATGATCTGTCACATGTCAAAATGTCCAGGCACCAGGGTACTTTGCAGATAAAATAGCTTGCAAGGGTTCACTGTGGTTCACATGTACTGTGATAGTTCTGAATTACAATTTTCATAATATTTAATACATTAAGACTGCTGCTGATACTACTAGGTTATGGACGGATGAACACAACATAATAAAGATAGAGAAGAAATGGTAATAACAGATACCAATACAACAATAAAGAACTATCAAAGAAAATAGCAAGAATATTTGGAAATAATGCTTGAAAACTGGATCCTAGAGCAGATCTATCAGTACAAGCTGAAGGGTAACAGACGCTAAGAAGATTAAAAAAAAAAGTTTTAACCCTGTATATTACTAAATGTTACAGTATATGTATTGCATGAATGTTGGACAGGCTGCAACAACGCGTCGACCCTCCGTCACCTTCACACACTGTATGTTGGTTAAATCCCAATTCTTACACTCTTCCACTGATGTCAAGAATCTACCTCGAACTACATATTTCATTTAGCAACCAACCGTCTACAGGTTAATTATTTATACACAAGTCACTGCACATCTAATACAAACAAATGATTGGTGTTTAATGTTCAGTAAAATAATTACAACCTTTAAAATGACTCTGATAGTACATAAAATCCAAAGCAGTACAGTATTTCAGGTAGGATTTGAGGTTCTCACGGTGGTGAGCACGAAGACGGCAGTCTTCCGGGTTGTCTTGTAGAAGTTTACCAATGTTTCAGAGGTACTTTCTGCCTCCATCAACAGGACAATGAGCCTAATCTACTACTTCTACCAGACTACATGGCACTACAACCCAGAAGACAGCCTCCTTAGTATTTCATGTATTCCTTTCTTTAAAGTGATTTCGTACATGTGACGTATTTGCTATTTCATGTCCTGGTGCAATGTGGGTCAAAGTGTGTGGTATAGCAACGGACAGTACAGCACCACCAGGTGTGTTTCTGTCAGTCCTCAAACCTCCACTGATAGCCCACCAGCCCCATTTTATATAGCTATAGATCAGACTGCTGATGCTGAGACACGTCAACGGCATGTGGGCCAATGTAGCACTGCAAACAAGCTTATGCTTCATTAATCTATATTAACCCTTTACAGACCAGTGCAAACTTTATGTACCACCTGCTTTAACAAACGATAACTCCGCATTTTATACGATTCTTACAGTAAACAGGGAATGTTTCATTAAACAGCATTAACAAATTGGTCTTTATAACGGTAAAGTGTTATCTTTTCTTTCAGGTACAGACTGACTTCTTAAATTAATATTTAGACAGCCTTCAGTTCCCGAGAGTTAATTAAAGAATACAGATATATATATTATTGCTCGTTAAAAAGGTGTTTGGCGCGAGCGAATTAGGCCTCTTAAACGTCAATGCCAGAATCGATGCCGATGGAGCATCGTCTACAAGAAGTGGAAGAGTGTCGAAGATACTCAGCACCGATAAAAGCTATCTATCATTCCTCTGTCCTGACAAGATGCACCCCCAAGGCCTGCTTAGCTGTCCCTGGAAGGAGGCAACTGGTATCCACTCTAGAACTCTGGGTGAACATCAAGTAGCTTGTTGGCACCTTGCTGGCAGCAGACCAGCCGTTGGTAATAGTAATATAAAGCGGACATAGACAGCGTATTCTGTAATGCTCGTCCATGTGATTCCAGATAAAGGGTAGTCTGGATATAATGCAAGACTGTGCCTGCTGTCATTAGTGCTACTAGATGTTTCACCTCGCAAGCTTGGAAATCTTTGGATGCACGTTTGCGACTATTAAGAAACCCGAAGGAAGATAGCGCTGAATATCATTTCTTGCTTTATCTTCACTGACATTACAGGGAATGGTACGTTCTGTTGTGTTTGGAGGCATCTGTCAGTCAAGCAGTGCTGTACAAGGTCTGGTTATAAGGCTTCAATGGTCGCAAACAGCTTCATTCAGAGCACCTTCTTTTGTTACTGCTTTGGACTTGGCTGGTCTGGTATATCCAATTTTGATGTAGACAAGGACCACTGATGCACTCACATGGTTAGCATGAACCAGCGACAAAGTCTTTGGCCGAGAGTGAGAAACTGATTGCACGCGAGATTTATGCTCTGCTTGTTCATGGGCGACTCCTTTGAATAAAAGTACAGAGACTGTTGTTGTCAGTCCCTGAGCACTGATGGACACTACTACACCAAATTTCACCAGAATACCAAATACATTACAAAAACAGAACACCTAAAATAATACGCTGCTTTGGATTTTATCTACTATATATGTAAGTAATTTTAAAGATTTTAATGACTTTATTGAACATTAAACATCAATCACAAATACTATATGCATCAGCTGTACACCGACTTGAGTAGAAATAATAAGCCTGAAGACGAACAGATGCTAACTGAAACACAATGATAATAGTGGACACTCCAGAAACAGTACAAGTAAGACTCAACCAATATACCGTGTGTAAAAGAGACGGTGACTGAATGCAAATAATTAGTGAACACACCAGGATGAATTTTTAACTAAAACTTATTATGGTCTCTGTAAAGATTGATTTTAAAGAAGTAAATGCAGTTTTGCATGAGCAAAGAAGTTCTGAACAAAACATTATTTGCCTTTCTACTAAGCAGAGATTTCTTCAATGGTTCAAATTTCTGTACCTACAAGAGATGAGTTAATATTTCTACATGCTATTCTACGGTTGGAACTCTTGCAGGAGGTATAGCAGACAGTATCTGAAAAGATTATGTTTTCTAATGAATTTTATAATAATGATTCTGAAATATCCATCGTTTTAAGATGTTCGGTGCTTCAAAACAAATTCCAATCTCTTCCAGCCCACCTTACACCCAACACAGCCCTTGCTGAAAAGATACCATTCTCAAATGAGCAGACAAAACTATGTAGTCAGTCCAGGAATAAAAGCAAGACTTCAACAACAAGAAATTAAACTTTGGGATTTTTGAAGACCAAAAATTAGCAACTGGCAGAACCTATTATTTTAAGGATATTAAAATGCATGAAATTGAGCTATTTGGGAATTGATGAACATTACATTCCTCGTATTTTGTAAGATTAATAAATATAAACCTAAAAAAGAATGAAGTGACAAGAGGCCAGCAAAAACTGCACAATGAGGAGCTCAATAATTTTTAATCTTAATTAAATTTTGTAAGACTTGAGGTTCTCACAGCGGTAATTTTGTCAGTATAATCAAAATAAAACAACTGAGGATTAACCAAGGATGGTACATGGCAAGTAGCACACACGGGGTATATCTGAAATGCACACAAAATTTTGGTTGGAAAGCCTAAAAAGAAGAGACCATTTGGGAGACCAACGCATGGATGGGAGGATAATACCCACTGTTAAGATAGATCCTAGAGAAATGGGGTGTGTAGTGTAGATTCATCTGCAAGCAGGTTACAATATGACATGACCTGTATAGGCTCTTGTAGTCACAGAAATATTGTATTTATTAACCCAATGAAACTGAACTGTAACTATAAATAAATATTTAAATATGGGTTGCATGACTTTTCAATCACCCTATACTTTTTGCAAGAATCAGGAAAACAGAAGCAGACTTAGCGAAGAAAGCAAAAAAAGATGTAGAAAGGCATATTATAATGCTGATATGACAGAAACAATGTTCATTTTATAATAAAAATCTATAGAGAAATTTGTGTTTTACAGGGGGAATATTTGCTTGCTACGCCAGGGCACGGCCTTTTTGTGCCCAGTCATTCGGCTGTGAGATTGCAAAAAAAAAAAAAATTGTAAAGTTTATTTAGCTATATTACAGGAAATGATGAAAATTTTACCATTTGCTCATATACGTTCCCCACACACTACGGTAGCCGTTTTGTTCCAACTTAAATCGAAGCGAGCTTTGTTTGAAATATCAACTCAGGATCAAGTCTGCCATTGTGGACTTATTGAAAATACCACTTAAAGAAATGAAGTCTGACTACTGGACCACATGGTAGTGACTAGCTACGGGCTGGACGACCGGGGTTCGATCCCCGACGGGGGCAGAGGATTTTTCCTCTAGCTTCTACGTCAAGACCGGCTCTGGGGCCCACCCAGCCTCCTCTACAATGGGTACCCGGGTCCTTTCCCGGGGGGTAAAGCCGGCCGGGGCGTGATGCCGACCACTCACCCCCATCTAGTGCCGAGGTCAAGAAAGAGAGGAGCTATACCTCCACTCACCCCAAGCGCCTACATGGCGTATAGTGGGACAAACTTTACTGCAGTGGGTGCACAACTATTGTTTTGTAAGACCAGTTTCAATAATTTTGCAGTGGTACTCACAGCCCTTTTTGATACTCTCATTTATCATAGAAGGCAATTTACGAGGTGAGGCAACTGTCCAAGTCGAGCTCTAATTCATCCAACTTCTGTTGTTACTGCTCCATATTGATAAAATGGTTACCTGCATCAGTTGTTCTTACTTTATGAACAACAGTGCTTATGTTAGAAACTTAAATTCTAAATTGTCTTCTAAATTTCCGTCAACTCCTTCTATTGGAGTTACACTCCATATAAGATTCATGTTATATATATAAACGATGCTACAGTGCAAGTTTACCCACGTCTTGCACAGAGAGAATTTTGAACATTGACTCACATGTGAACGTCAAAAGAACCTATAACCCCATTTCTTATCACTGCCGCTGCAGCAACTCACAGCAACCAGCACAGCGATTCTCATAGCGGAAGGGCCGTGCCTGACATAGGATGCAAATATTCTCCCTGTAGTAGTTAAATGTATTACCACTTACCACCCCACTCTTGTCCACTATTTCTTGAATAATACGCCCATTTTTCCCAATTACTTTCCCCACCAAAATCCGAGGTACTTGAATGGATTCTTCGCTGTATTCTAACATACTACGGGCCTTTTTAACAGATTCAGAAGTCTGAAACAGAATAATTCATCAACTTAAAAAATTATAATTTATTTTATTAAATCCAAAAGAGCAAGTATTAAATATATTTTGCTTGAAACTTTTTAAATAATGTAATCACAATTTTAAAATACTTCTTGACACTTACCTCCCCATAAATTTTAAAAGTGCACGAATTCTCTTCAAGTTCAATGTTCGTGATGCCCTCTACTTTCCGTGCTTGTTGAATATTTGCACCGTGAGCACCGATCGCAAGTCCCATGAGATCTTCGCGTACACTAAACTCGTCCGAGTATCTGAAAACAAATACCCTTACTTTCATAATACTATATCACGGAATCAGGGTAATACTGACTTTAACGTAGCAACACACATGCATTTTATGTACAATGCATATCTTGAAATATTACTGACTAAACTCCAGTAACAAAATGCAATCTCCATGGTTCTAACATGGAACACAACCATAAATCAAACTGGTACCGTTTAAAAAAACAGCACAGTACAGATATATCAGTGGTTCTCAAACTTTGTGGCAGGCTATTTGTTAAGTTGCCAGCTCTGTAGAAATTTTCACAGCATATACAATTTGTCAAAAATATCTAACCCAAACTACAAGTATTGCAGAAGTAATCTTAAAAAGGTCTCTATTAACGAAATGGAGCAATGAAATAGTAAGCTACAATGAATCATAACTTCTCCATGAAGAGGCATGCAGTATCTGATCAACAACAAACAGTAAGAAGGCCAAATTGTCAAGAAATACCGCGCCTCACCTTGCGTTTGCTCTCACCCCTGCCTCATAGTTTGAGACACGCTGATATATAAAGTTTGAAGGCCTAAATTTGCTGAAATAAAAAGAAACGCTGAGTTGAAGTCAGAGTTAAGTTAGTTCACATACTGTAACGCGTTAACAACAAAACCATATGAGAATGTAAATTCCATCTCCCAAACAGAAGTTAGATCTATTCTAATGGTTAAATGACACTTCAATTAAAACAAGAGTTATTTTACGCTTAAGCCACACGTAATAACACAAAAACTAATTGGTTAAATGACACTTCAATTAAAACAGAGTTATTTTACGCTCAAGCCACACGTAATAACACAAAAACTAAAAATTATCTTACAACTGCATTATTTCATCCCATAAATTGCATGGGGTCAGTGTGCGTCTGAACTACGCTGGCATGCAACAACACAAATCTGCTCGCATGAGAATCATTTTCAGAAGGAACCTTACCCTCCAACATTCTGCAACTTGGTCGATTCTAATTGCCTGGCCGCTTCCTCAGTTCGTTTCAGCAACAGCACCTTCTGACTTAGATTCCTAAAATGCATCTCTTGAAGCATGGATGAACGCTTTTTTGATTGCTCGGTTCGCGAGATCACACTCAGGAGTCCTCTTTCTGGTACGTATCGGCAGATTGCCGCATCTATGGCTCTCTGAAACTCCTTATGAGCATTGTCCATTTTTGCACTAGAACAAAGAAAACTCAAAAATATACACAAAACACAAATCAGTGAACTAACTAAATGTATATACATCGCTCTCAGAGTACGTGAATATAAGATATTCAGTTAATAAATACAGAAGATTCACAAACTTGTCATAACCACCTGTGTAGAAGCTCAGCATGCTAATTCATAAGCTAAATCGCATTTTATTGTTGGATTTTAAACTTACGCCACCTAAACAAATATAACGACACAGAGATAACAGAAATGAAAGTCTGTGCAAAGGAAAAACAGGCCTTAAAAATCCTGTTCCAAACTCCATGTTTCATCTTAATTATGTAAAATTAAAGTAAAGTTTGTCCCGCTACGTGCCGTAAAGGCGCTTGGGGTTAGAGGATGTATAGCTCCTCTCTTTCTTGACCTCGGCACTAGATGGGGGTGAGTGGTCGGCATCACGCCCCGGCCGGCTTTACCCCTGGGAAAGGACCACGGTACCCATTGGGTAGGAGGCTAGGTGGGCCCCAGAGCCGGTCTGGACGCAGAGGCTAGAGGAAAAATCCTCTGCCCCCGTCGGGGATCGAACCCCGGTCGTCCAGCCCTTAGCTAGTCACTACACTGACTGAGCTATCATCTTAATTATGTATGATTTTAAATTCAGCTATGACCTGAATATTTTGTAGACTTTATAATTCTACCCTCCATGTTAAGAAAATTACGACAATAATTATGGCTATCACAAAATCTGTAAACTGGATAATCCACACACACACAGATATTAAGGAATTTACTGTAATTATAAGCTGTCATCATACATGTTCTTTTGTTTGGTCAATTTTCAAATAAAACTTTTTTACTTGTTCCATGTTCTTATAAATGTTTACTCTTTCTCTTTTTCATTCACAATTGCCGAGTGTCTAGATGGTATGTCTAATTTAAACATTCCAGGAAAAAAAAAAACCCTGGCAATCTTCCATTAAAATACATCTAATCATCTGTGCAAAGATACAAAGAAGTTAAAATTATCCCTGAATACGTACTATTCACGCAGATCTTCAGGTACTTCAATCTCAAACTTGTAGAATGTGGTTTTATCTATGGGGGTATTTGAATTCTTGGGCCGCAGCCTTTCACTCGCGACAATTTCAGTATACGTGTTCTCCCAACCTAAGTACTCGACCACATGAAAATCACCCTTTATCATCTGAAAGAAAAGATAAAATTAAACAAACATTTTACATTCATTATAATTTTTTTCTTAACATATGCACTCTCCACTAACCTATTCTAAATCAGACTGTACAAAACAGAAGGGACTAATACAGACAACGAACAAAATTATACCTGCACCTACACGAGATCTGGGTCACAAAGCAGTGAAGATATTGATGTTGGTCTTCTGGGTTGTAACACCGTATGGACTTGTAGGTATACGCCAGCATTTCAGACAAACATACTGTCTCCATTTTCAGGGCTGAAACCTTTGGCATTAGAACCCAGAGGAGCAACACTGACATACATCAGCATGATTATGAAAAGTATAATTTGAGGTTTTCACAGAGGTGAGTCTGAAGACGGTTGTCTTCTGAGTTCTGCGCCATGTAGTCTGGTAGAAGTTTACCGACATTTCAGAGGTCCTTGCTGCCTCCATCATCGCCCTGATGGAGGCAGCAAGGACCTCTGACCACTGAGTCAGATACCCACAGAGGACTAGCAAATAGAATATCCAAATCTGAATGCACATGAATTTTCCCATTGCTTAAATAGAATCATGTGTTTTCAACATGCTATTTAAGGTACTGAGACTTAAAATGTTGCTGAAATGAATCTGGCATTTTGTCTCAACTGGATACTGGAAAATTTTAACAAAATCTTTGAAGCTCTTATGAGCTTATACCAATATGACAGCATAAGTATAATGCAAACCTGAAATATAATGGTACATTCTGCAGATATGGATATACTTATAGTAAAATCACGAAATCTAAAAAAATAAATGAACATTAGGTATTTTGCCCTATTTTACCGTCATTATTTAGGAAAAGATTGTTCCAAGTTATTTCATAATAATAGAATTTCTGGAGGAATACAGTTGCAGGAAAGCTATATTCCTCTAGGCCAAGTATTTTCCCACAATGAGCCCCATCTCCACCCAATACTTTCTTGGAACACAGTAAGCAGTACAAAGTTGCAGTGCGCTATACACCTTGAAAGTACGCTCCAAATGAAACTTTAAATGCAAAGTGATACAAACTCTCTCAACCAAAAACTCTTCATGACACCAATGCAAACCATACGGTGTGCTCCACCCCCATCCCCACTAAATTTTCTTGATTTAAACACTAGAATTCATATGAAAATGGAAAAAAAAAAATAAAGGATTCTGACAGGACATGGCCTCTCCTGTTTAATAAAACTTACATATAACATTTTTGAGAAACATAAAAGGATGAAAGCAAAAGGAGATCATTTATAAGAAAATAAATATCATAAAAGTAAAGTAAAGCTGTCCCACTATACGCCATGTAGGCGCTTCATAGAAGAGAAGGTATAGCTCCTACTCATTCTTCACCTCGGCACTAGATGGGAGCGAGTGGTCAGCGTCACGCCCCGGCCGCGTTTTACCCCCGGGAGAGGACCCCGGTACCCATTGGATAGGAGGCTGGGTGGGCCCCAGAACCGGTCTGGCCGCAGAGGCTAGAGGAAAAATCGTCTGCCCCCGTCGGGGATCGAACCCCGGTCGTCCAGTCCGTAGCCAGTCACTATACTGACTGAGCTATGCCAGATCAATAAATATCATATTTCAGTATTATTCACAGGCACGCCCATTCACACATAACTTGTATTATGTCACAGAATTAAGCATATAGATATGCCTTTCCAACATCAATAAAAGTTAAATGAGTTTTTTCTCAATAACCATCTTAATATCTAACTGCAAAAATTAAACAACTACTAACCTATTACCTCTGAAACCATGTTGTTCTTGCAACAGTTTATGTTTGACCTGTCTTCTCTGATTCTCTCCCACAATGGGGCAATACATCAATTATCCACAGACTCAAATAACACCCACAATTCATTTCACCCACGAAACTATTTAAGCTAATTAAAATGTGTTTGAACAAATCCTATAATAAGGCACGTTCGGTAAACACTAGCCTAATGCATTTCCAATGCAAATGGTCTGAAACAAGATGCTTTAACACCACTTTCTTTCAACTTTGCTTTTACAGTACACCGTCAGGAAAGTCAATAACAATAAAAAAAGGTACTGAAATTCAATGAGACATATCGACTTCTAGCCTACACTGATGACGACAACCCTTTAAAGCCCAGTGGTAAGAAAACGTACCACCTGTTTTAATGATCAATAATTGTGTATTTTGCCTGCAGAATGTATTTGTCAGTATGAAATAATTCTCAGCATAGAAAGCAATATTTCCTTTAAGAGTATTAAGCAACTGATCTTTGTAATGGAGAACACTTCTGTTTTCTGTGAGGTACGGACTGAATGCTTAAATATTATTCAGATGAACTTTGGATTCAAATTGGTTTAATTTGTTCAATAAAAACATAAATATCATAGAAACAGACAGAAGATGTATTAGACGCTATTAAGTTGATCTAGAAGTAACATCCGAAAAAACTAGACTAGGACAAAAACATTATATAAAGGTAGCCAATACATCTTATAAAAATGCACAAGAATTCAAAGTCTATCGTGTTAACGGAACGGCATCAAAAACGAAAGCGGGGCTGAGTAGGTGTATAGTATGCATGAGATGAGAATGCTTATATAATTTGCTTCGGAGGACAGGCACCACTTGGAAGATATAGACTCAGACAGAATGATAATATTAAAATGAATCTTAGGTAAGCAAGGTAGAATGAATTCACGTGGCTTAGGAAAAGGACTGGTATTGAGATATAGTGAACAGGTTCCAAGAAGGGTAGAATCTGAATAGCTGACAGACTATCAGCTTCTCAAGAAGGGTCCTGCTGGGTGTTTTCACATTTACATAGGTATTTATCAGAAAAAGGTACATTTCCAAATCCAATGGTAGGTCATTCAATACAGCAAATGGCTGATTAGGAAGAGGTCATATTGGGGTTGGCATACAGTAGTCCACTCACTCCATATGTTAGTGAACACACAAGCTACAAACGAGGGTATGGAGAACAGTTAATTGCCACAGTTTTCTACTTCAAAGGCAAGTTGTTCAAGTGCTTCAGCCTAAAGATTACACTTCACATACAGAATTCAGCAAGTGGAATCATTCAAAATGATCAGCTCACTTCCTGTATTCTATAAACATCTGATTCTGGGTTAATGACGATAAGACTGACCGTCTGTATTTGAACACTGCTTCACCGCAGAGAAACATCAACTTTCTTGAACACTGCCTATCAGAACTTTAGGTCAGAAAGGTACGTGGATTCAGCGCAGTGGTGTACCAGCATGTTTTGCAAGATACACACAATTTTTAAACCAGCTGTTTGAAGGTCAATGAATCTATTGGGGAGGGCTGCAAGCATAGCCACTGAAGCCACCAGATATAATGCCACTAAATTATTACTTATAGGGGTATACAAAAGGCCTGAAATATTAACAGCAGCAGAGCTAACTGGCCACATAACTGATGCTGGAACACAGATGCTTGGCAGAGAAACTAGTTCTGTTTTAAAGATAGCAAAAACTTGCCTCAGAGAAAGCAGCAGCCAATTCGAGCTATTATTATCATCAGTTACTGCTTTAACAAAAATACTAACGTAAGACAAGGTGGTGGCCACTTTCAGTAGTTATTGTAACAAGTTGCTTCTTCAATAAGATCTGTAAAACAGTACTCAGTAAACTTGTTTTTTCTGCTCATTTCCACCAACAACTTCAAACATTCATAATGGCTTCAATATCTTTGACTTGTAATCTCTCCCCCCCCCAACCAAGATGAAGTATAGACTTCAACGAGACACCCTGCATTTCTTGGTACTCTGTGCACCTAATAATATCTAGGCGGTCCTATAACTTTCATAATTTCTATTCATATTTCATAGACTCTTGATGCTTCTCCAAATGACATATTTCCATTTGTTTTTTCAACATCCAGCACATTTATTTATTCATTCTCTTCCATTTTCAAGACCTGCTCCCTACACTTTGGTCCGCATTAATAACTTATGTTCTCTTATTTAGCAAACAAAATTATTCACGTACTCACCAATTAAATAACATTCTATGCAGCAATGTTCACTCCACTGCAACATTTGCAACATTGCTCATGCTGTTATTATGGACAGAAGTAGACAATATCTAATTCACGATCAAGGAGTGGATAGAAACATTGCTAGGATTTTGAAAAAAGAACTAGATCCTTCAAAACAATAAAAATATATGCTGTTAGTTTCCTGTCAAAATGTATAAAGGCGAAGTATTCAGTACTGAATATTCAGCGAGTAGTGACGTTTAAAGACACGTAAAAAGCCGCACGCATGTACTAAGAATAATGGCGGATCACGAGAAGATAGCACAGAAATACTGGTGACTAATACAGCGTAAATTAACGCAAGAAGTATGCTTTTTAAAGTGAACCTAAAAATAAATTTTTAATCTAAGCTATTTATGTAAACATGTTTTGGCAATATGCGTATAACAGAAGTTTACCTTTTATCCACCGACACTATTCAAGTACATAATGGAACAGTTCTTGTATTACATGTTGTTTTACAGAAAGAATAACTTCAGGGTAATAAGTTCATAAACCAAACTGTTACTATCCCAAAACACAACTTCCAAAACTCTATAAACCATACAACATACAAAAGAGTAATTTAAGCAGTTAAAACAAAGTTCTTAACACCATATATCATACTAAAAGGAATTAAGTGGGGTAACAGAGTGTATTACACGATAAGTAACTTGGTGATTTATGAAAGTCACTTGAGACAGCTTGGACCAAGAAATCAAGAACTTGATAGGTTACTGGTCCTCATATAGGTCAATGACCTATATACCTGTTGAATTCAATAACTCATCAGTAAAACAAAATCCTCTAAGCATATAAGAAGAAGAAGAATGAACTCTGCATTGAGACATAACTAGAAATAATCAGGACATCCAACAACAAAGATAATTAAATAAAAAGGAGTAGGTTATTTTCAGTGCTTTGTAACCATGAACTGGAAGGTCAGAGCTAACTGCTGGCCATATTGCCTTGTAATTCAACAGTGGATAAATATAAAGCCACCATGAGCTTCTACTGGACTCGGTGAATAGTGAAAAATGCTGCACAATCAACAGAGTGATATCAATAATCCAACAAGAAATACACATCCTTGGCTTGGGCATATTAAGGATGTACAGAATGTAAATAAATTCTATTCCATTAACATTAACTAAACTATCTATTCATCCCTATATCAATACACATTATAAATTGAAGGAAAAAGTACTTGGCCATTCAAAACACTCGCTAAAAAAAATCATAATTATCATTACATCTTTCTTTAAACATATTAAAATATAATCTCACCTTGATGATGGCCTTCCACCAGCCACACGCCTCTTGATCATTGGCCCGAGAATATACCTCAATTTCCTGATTTTCTGTGTAGTCAGGTTTTCCTGGGACACCTTCTGGGGGAAGACGCACTTGGGAAAATGGAAATTTGGACTCTGGTTGCCAACTGAAAAAAGAAATTAATCCTTTACAATAAAAAGTACAAAAACTGCTTTAAATTCACCCTTTTGTTCCAGAACAACATGGTATGTACAATGCAGTGCTATGGTTTAAATGCAAACACAATTTAAAGCAACTACAAAAAAAAAGCATTCACATAACAGATTCTTAATACTACTTACTCATTTTCAAAGGCTACTGACACTTCTTCATCAAATACATCCGTCACAAAGGCCTGCAAAGAAATTAATATGATTCACAAAAGAAATGTATTGATTTAGGAATGTCTGTACTTTTGTACAGACTTGGTCATTCTATATTCTATTACTGTTACAGTAACATTTCATTTCTGGAAACTAAAATTATCTGTTTACAAGGTATAATACACCATTGCTCCTAGAGGTTATGATCATTTAAGGTAATAAAAGAGAAGCAATTTTATTTTGCAGTATAAACTGGCTTTTATTGAGATACATTTTGCTCAAATTCATAACAATATAAACAATTATCTCATAATAAACAAATCAGATCAGACCATTGACCTATGGCTTCTGAGTCGCTATATATGCGTTCTAATCTCAAAATAATTACTTTCCAGTTCAAACAACTTCTAGTACAGAAATTCATTGCTAGAAATAAAGACAGGGTATGTAAAACTCTTCTGCTATAACAGCCAGTTGCAATATTTAAGGCAATAAACATTTTCAGGTCAGCAAAACCGGTAGGTCTCGGCTTGCCCACGAAGGCTAGGTTAGTCAAGTTGTGGGCATTTGAATGAATTTGTCAAGAAACGAACTGATGAAGTATTACTGGTGCTATAAGCTTTGAAATCTAAACACTTTGATGATGTTAAATGTGAAGAAAAGCCTCTGCAGGGTTGAATAAAAACGACAATGAGGCACATGGGGAAAATCACGCCCTGTCAAATGAGACATGGCGTCCTACCGCGTTCTCTCGTGCCATTTAAAACCATGATTCTCATAAAGTAACACCTTTGTGACCTAAATCTCTTCATAAGATGTGTTTGCCTGGTAATTGTGTTAAATTAAAATAAAACATATTGCACTTTTAGCTTACTTTAATTAATACAAACCTTGTAATAGGCCCCATTCTCGCCGCATACTTCGACTGCGAGATCCTCCATCTTACTTTTGTACGATGGGAACTTTGAGTTTGAGGTTATATCAGTATTAGCCAATCAAACAAAAATATGCATAAAATGTATCGCCCCTATTGGGTATTTCTAACATTACCATGATTACAAGACAGTCATGGCTGAGGGATGTGGTAGAAGAATGATGAAAATGGTGTTTTATTTTACTGTTTATACGCATTCAGAATCTCACTGAAAGAAAATAAACATGTCTGAAAGTAGTGATTCTGAGGAATTTTATGATGCTGAAGATTTGACACCTTATCGCTGTTCAAGGTAATAGATTGTCATTGCTTCTCTGCTTGTTCACCAGTTATAAAATTATTTGGGTTCTTGATGTTGTTTTAAACGGCTAGGCAGCCAGCAGTACCTTTAGTTTTTGCAAATGTAGTATGTTGTACGTACATTAATAATTGTAATATAAAATTATGATGATGTACAAAATAGCGTTTCAGTAAATTGGTGTGAAGTGTGACTTAACCTCCCTTTTTTTTTATTAATAAGTATAATATTTGTATTTTGGGCTATTCCTTACAGGAAAAACAAATCAGGCAAGGAAGTGTTAGTAATTTCAAGAACGCAATCAGATGAAAGTGTATCACTCAAAGGTAATGAAGCAGAAGTAAAACCAGGTCTGGAAGTTGATGGTACTGAACTTCCAGAATTTCCCCAGGAGTGCTTTGTACCTGTCTTTGACAAAAATGAAACTGTTGTAAGTAACGACATTCAGTTTTTCGATAAATTCTTCCTTATTTCATATGCATCATAAGTAACTAACTCCATATAGCAGAACACATTGGAAACTGATAATGGCTTAGTTAGTCAAGAAATTCCTGGCCTTTTATGGAATCTGAAGGTTCACTACTGTGTTCACAGGAGGCTGCTGTAGGTCCATATTCTAACTCACATGAATGTAGTCTACATCCTCCTACCCTGTCCTTAAACTCCGTTTTAATATTATCATCCTATCTGCACCTGGGTATTTTTAATGGCTTCTTCCACTCAGGCTATCCCCAAAGTGTGTTAGATGCTCCACACCTTACTTGCTTTGATTAGATCATTCTGTTATTTGGTGAAGATTAAAAACTATCTGTATTTTCTTTACATTGTGTTAGAAGTAATAAGATCCTATGAAAGCATATCAGCAATATAAATCTATGTAGAACAGTGAGAAAAACAAAATATTCATATTCACTAGATACTTACACAGGTGACCTGATGAAATTGCACAACATTAATGTCTACTTTGGGCATATGAAGTTTATTTCTTTACATGCTTAATTAAGAATTACATATTTTCATGGATTTTTATTAAATAGAGATATTTAAGTATTGTACTCCTTGCGCTGATGTGTTATGATGCCATGTGGTAAGTAAATACCGGTGTTTTGAAGAAACATACCGTCTCCTTCATCTTTAGGGATGAAGTCCAAACAGTACCACAACCCAGAAGAACAGTATCAACATTTTCACTACTGTGAGAACTTCACACCTCACATACTAAATATTCTTATAAACATATACATTACTGCATCATAGAACACCTTCAGAACATAGTAAATTTTAGATTTATTTATAGTTACTAGCTGGGATGTTGTTTTAACATACTTATCCATCTAACTTGTCATTGAATGTACGGTTTTATGTAGAGTTACTAACCCTAACACAAAACATTTTAACTGTTCTAACACATCTATTAACGGTTGTGAAGCTATGTTGATATGACTCTCTTATCAACAATTGAAACTATAATATTATCTGAAGAAGACTGTCTTCTGAGATCTTGTCTATAATTTTGTGATTTTTGTAATATATTTGAATAGTCCTGTGGAAACAGGGCTGTGGAGTCGGTAAAAATGTACCTACTCTGACCCAGTCCTCGATATAAAGTCTTAAGAACAATTTCTATACCGTGTGAGCCGCCGGCGGCTTCACGCTCAGGGATATTGAAGGACGCGTTGAGCCACATGGTGTGGGAATAATGCTTTGTAACTTTGGCTCTGGTAACTTAACAATACAAACTGTATACAAATCAACTGATTTCTGCAATAACCATTAGACGTATATTTAAATATAGGTTACAAATCTAAAAAGTAGCCTGATGATTAACGTGGTGGTGATGAAATCTCTTGTGGTGCCATTTACCACTTTAGTAGGCTTACAATTATTAATACATATTGAGCTTTTATGAAGGAGTCGGAGTCGGAGGTTTTAGTACCGACTCCACAGCCTGTGTGGAAGTTCCATCAATATCACTTATTATTATTTATTATAATTTGGAATTTCAACTATTATTTTTTGCAGGATGTGGAAAAGAAAATTTCTGGAAACCATGGTCGTCGTCGTTTTCAGGAGCTTCGACAGAGAATGCAAACAGAGGATGAAGATGTAGGACTAAACAACTCTTCTCCTCCTGATAGTCAGACTTCATCAGTTGAAGGAGTGTTTGCAGTCCCAAGCAAGACTTCACATCCGTTCCGTATTATTGAGCATGATGCTGTAAGTCTTCAGAGCATGACATCGCTTGGCCGCGTGGGTAGGATTCTGGGAGGTTCTGTGGATAATACAGGTGAAGTGTTAATTGCCTTTTTTTGATGTTTGATGTTACGTGGGTACTGGCTTTATAGTAATCTGCCTCAGGGAGCTCCTATAGTTAATGTTACTTTGTCGATATCACTTAACATAGCCACGTTCTGATGACATTTTGTATGTATGATTACTTTAACAAACTGTTTCAGCTGCACAGGTTATGTAGCATTTATATCAGAAGAGGATGATGTATTGTTTGTAGATAAAGGTTCAAAAGAGATGTTCTTGATGTGTTTGATAGTTCCACTCTGGATGTAGCATGAAAAGACTTGCAGATGACCATGAAGTACCTTCGTCAGAATAGCCTGAAACTGTTTTCAGATATAGACCATGTACCTCTGAATTCAAGTCCAGAGAATCACTGCTATACCACTCTCCTGCTAAAAGTAATGATTATGCTGATAGCACTCGTGTGTTGTATTTGGGATGTCCTGGGTTCAGTTCATGCTCTAGAGCAGTGGTCCCCAACACGGTGCCCACGGGCGCCAAGGCTTTTTTTTGGATGCCCGCGTTGTTACGGAAAGAGATTATACTGAATAATGAAGGCCATTCAACCATGAACATTATAAAATCCATGACAAGATGCAGGTACCGTTAAGTGGGAGGGGGGGATAGTAGTTTAATTTAAAGAAAATAAACAATGTAAAAATGTTATAACAAATATAATATTCTAGAAGTGGACATAAGTCCAGGGGAGTCATGTCCAACATTGTAAACAGAAATCAACGAACTAATAAATGACAGAAAGGGGAGTGAATCTGAATATTTGCACACTCGTTCAGTGATCATTCTTGTAGGAGTGATATTTTTTCAGAAAAGAATCATAATGTTAAAACATATCTCTATTATTATTGTAATTAAAATAATTTTTTTTTTGGTATTTAAATGCATTGTAGATTGTGTTCCAACATTAGTGTGTTGTCTTGTATATTTCAACTCCTAATATAGTTTATTTATTTTCAGCTGGCACTATTGGTCGTGATAGTCTGACATTACCACCAGCTGTGTTACCTACCGCATCGGGTGGAAAAGACGATGATTCATTACCAGAAACTTTGTCGTTAACGTCACAGAGTTCACATAACTTATCTACTGATTCTTCTGCAGCTGCGACTCAGAGATGTTTTAGCATTGACAGGGCAGAAACATCAAAAGATTCCCTATCAGTCCAAAAAGTTGAAGAGTCGCAGACATCACGTGTGACTGTCCCACTGCAAGATCAAGATGTCAGAGCAAACATGAAGCATACAAACAATACTAATAATATTAATGGGATAAGTTTTGATGGCAGCGTAGAGTCGTCTGTTACAGTTCCAATTGCGCCTCCAAGACGTAAGAAGAGGAAACCTCAGACACCAAGAAGTCTCACTGTGAGCAATATTCCCTTCTCTTGTGTATTAATATGTTGTTGGCTCCACTAACAGTTCAGTTACAATAATTCTTGATTATAAGTCTGCGTAGCATTCATACAATGTTTATGTTCCCCAGCCGCCACCTTCAGAAGAAGCTTATCCGCAGTCGTCACCTCTTCCAAGTCCAGCCAGCACAATTGAGTCTTTGACCCGGGAATTTGAACATTCATTAGACATTAGGTCTGCAACCAAAGGACAGTATGTGGTGAAGCCACAAGTGAGTGATTCCTTTTGCTTGGGTACCGTATTTTCGTTCATATTGGAATCCGTGAAAGTTGATGACATGCTAGTTCTATTCTCCGAGTTTCTGAAAAGCAGTTAATGCCATTTTCATTTAATGAATAAAATGTCACACTCTTTTTTGAAGATGTAGCAATGAAAAGGGTTTCCATTATGAAATACAGGCGACTCTCGGTTTACGAACGAGTTCCGTTCCAAGACGTTGTTCGTTATGTGTATCTTGCATTCCTGAGCTTTTACGATACGTGTCATATACGTTAGCAGCCATTTTAAAGCATTAAAACCATGTACTAATTATCATATAATAATTTTCTGATAATTATTGTAATAAATACATTTTTTAAAAGTTTATTTATTTAAGTCGTACAATTATGTTCACTATACGTTTGGTATTTCGTTTTATAAGGAACTGTATCTATGGGCGACTTTAAAAATTTTTGAGTGAATTGTGACGTCGTTATAGCGAATGTTCGTAAACCGAGAGTTGCCTGTAATTTCCTTTGTATCTGCTGTTTTACTGTGTACAGTTCTGCATAATTTTATCTTTTTTATCAGCTCCTGTGCTTCAGTTCCTGCGGTGAATAATCTTTGCTATTGTAAGGTTCAAGTGTTAAGAAAGCTATAAAGTAGTAAATGGAAAAAAATCTTCTTCTTCTTCTATGGCTCTCTGGTCCGTATTCGGTCCATGGCCTCCTCAATTCACCTCTTCCATTCGGTCTGTTAGGTCCGTCTGTCCGAGGCTTTGATCGAGGTTTCGAAACATCTTCCTTTTTACAGC